CGCCTTTTCCTGTGCTTTCTTAGCTTCTCGTCTTTGCCTGCTTCTGTCGCTTCGCTTCGTTTCTTTTGCGCTTTCTGTCTTTCTTGTTTCTCTTTCGTGTTTTCTCCTCTTCCCCTTCTCTTCCTCTCTCTTTCTCTCCTTCTTTCTTTCTCCCCATACTGTGCTAATTTCACGGCTGTCATTGGAAAAAACCCATCCCACTTTCGCATCCGATCGCATCACGCAATTCCCATACATTCTTTTAATTTCATTTCCCCCCTCTTTCTATTCTATCTTCACTAATCAACTGCTACCAATAATAACATCCCACTACATACATCATGGCCGATCAACCCGAAAAGACCGCCGCCGCCGCTCCTGCTGCTGCCCCCGAGGCGCAACCTCCCACCACCACTACTGAGCCTGCGGTTTCCGAGTCCCAGCCTCAGCCCGAAGTCGAACAAAAAGTCGAGCCTGCGACGACAGGAGAAGCAGCAGCTTCTCCTGCCCCCGCTGCCGCTGCCACGGAACCTCCCGTGACGGAACCCGCTCCCGCTCCCGCCCAGGAGGCCGCCGAGGATAAGAAGGAGGAAGCACCCAAGGAAGAGACCAAGGAGACCAAGACTGAGGAACCCAAGGAGGAGCCAAAGGCGGATGAGCCCAAGGCTGAGCCAAAGGCCGAAGAAGCAAAGGAGGAGGAGGAACAAAAGCCCGCTCTGCCCGAGTATCTGGCCAAGAACCCGGCCCTCAGCCAGTTCTTCGATCGTCTGTCGGCCATTCTCTCCTCCACTGGCTACAATGAGATGTGGGGTGTCACCCTCAAGGACTCCTCGGATGTCCCCACCGTCAACATCCTCATCAAGTTCCTGCGCGCCAACGAGGGTAACGTCAAGCTGGCCGAGGAGCAGCTCACCAAGGCCCTGCAATGGCGCAAGGAGATGAACCCCCTCGCCCTGACCGAGGGCCGCTACAGTGCTGAGCGCTATGGTGGTCTGGGCTATGTCACCAAGTACCCGGAGGCCAATGGCAAGGAGGTCATTGTCACTTGGAACGTCTACGGTAATGTCAAGTCTATTGATCAGACCTTTGGCGATGTGGATGGGTAAGTGCGGCTGCGGCTACTGCTATTTCGTGATTGATGGGGGTTATATCTAACTATCACTAGATTCATCAAGTGGCGTGTCGCGCTCATGGAGCTCGCTGTCAAGGACCTGAAGCTGAGCGAGGCGACGACCGTGATCGACTACGACGGCGAGGACCCGTACCAGATGCTGCAGGTCCACGACTACCAGAACGTCAGCTTCCTCCGCCTGAACCCCACCATCAAGGCGGCCAGCAAGAAGACCATCGAGGTGTTCTCCATGGCCTACCCCGAGCTGCTGCGGGAGAAGTTCTTCGTTAACGTGCCTGCCATCATGGGCTGGATGTTCGCCGCCATGAAGGTCTTCCTCAGCAAGAACACCACCCGCAAGTTCCACCCCATCTCCAACGGTGCCAACCTGGCCCGCGAGTTCCCTTCCCTGAAGGACAAGTTCCCCAAGACCTACGGTGGTAACGGCGCGACCCTCGAGGAGGAGGCCTTCACGGTCAACCTCGAGAAGGCCCAGCCTGCTCCGGAAGCCCCCAAGGAGGAGGAGGCTAAGGAGGAGCCCAAGCAGGAGCAGACCGAGGCCCCTAAGGAAGAGGCCAAGGCAGAACCGGCTGAGGCTCCCAAGGAAGAGGTGAAGGAGGAAGCCAAGACAGAGCAGCCGGCGGCTGAGGAGCCGACCAAGGCAGAGACTGCAGTGACGGCCCAGGAGGCGCCCGCCGCGGAAGCCAAATAAAAGCAAGCAAGAGGCGTAATTCACGCCTGGTCGGGATGAGGCCAGGATCACTGATCACTTAATTTACGGTAATGGATGGGACAGGTTGGATTGATACCCGGGGGAATCGGTAGAATGATTTCCGTGTCGTTTTGCGTACTTGATACCTCTCGATAGTGTGTGTGCTTTATGTTCTGGGATTGATGGGGGTGCAGAGGCACTAGATAGTAATATTTAATGTAACAGGTCATATAGCCTCCGATATAAAGTTACGATGTTTCTGTCGCGTGGACCGTTATTTCATGCGTTCCTGCATGCCGCAGGATCTAATCGTATTAAACACCGTATTTCTGCCTATTTATGCTAATCGCCAGCCAGGCACCCCTGATGACTCAGCAGACAATGTCCCTCATTTCCTGCACCAACAAAACACTCAGCTGCACAACTAATACTGCACGAACAACAGGCAGCAAATAACATTCGGGCAAGGGAGATTTAGTGTGTTGTTCTTCCTTTCTCCTCTTGAGTGTGGTTGTATCCTATAAACCACCCTTCCCTCTATCCCTCTCCACCAATTCCAACTCTGCCATTCTTCCACCCTTTCTATCCCCCATACCATACATAATAAGTGTACAACAACCCCATCACAATGTCGGGACCTCACATCGGCCCGTGGAGAACTCCCGCCCAAGGCCATCTCACTCCCGACGCCAACGGCGATCTCAAAACCGACTACACGCGCTGGCGTCTCCGCGACGACCGCGGCCGCCAAACCTGGCACTACCTGGAATCCGACGCCGAAAACGAGCAATGGCCTCAATCCATCGCAGATAAGTATTTCCTCGGTCTCCCCACGGGACTTCCCGAGCTCCCTAAACCCCAGACGCCCTTGCAATGCGCTGAGAACGGGCTGGAGTTCTTCTCCAAGTTGCAGCTGGAGCCGGGGAACTGGGCCTGCGAGTATGGTGGGCCCATGTTCTTGCTGCCTGTCTTGATTATCACGTATTATGTTACCAACACACCTATTCCGCCGGAGTATGCTACCGAGATTAAGCGCTATTTGTTCGCTAGGCAGCATCCGGAGGATGGTGGGTGGGGGTTGCATATTGAAGCTCATAGTTCTGTGTTTGGTACTTGTATGAATTATGTTACGTTGAGGTTGGTGGGAGTGAGTGAGGAGGATCCGAGGATGGTTAAGGCTAGGGGGTTGTTGCATCGGTTTGGGGGGGCTATTTATGGGCCTCATTGGGCTAAGTTCTCGCTGGCTGTCTTGGGGGTTATGGATTGGGAGTGTGTCAATCCGGTGCCGCCGGAGATTTGGTACGTTTCTTTCTGGCTGTGATATTGGGTGATTTGTGGATGGGTTGCTGATTCTAGCAGGCTACTTCCTGACTGGGTGCCGTTTGCGCCGTGGCGCTGGTGGATTCATATTCGTCAGGTCTTCTTGCCCATGTCGTATTTGTGGTCCAAGAGGTTCTCGCATCCGTTGGACCCTCTCACCAAGCAGCTGCGGCAGGAGCTGTATACCCAGCCGTATGACTCGATTGACTTTGCGGCGCATCGCAACTCAATCCACAAGGCGGACAATTACTACCCCAAGACGTGGCTGCTGAATACCTTGAACTCTCTGCTCGTCAACATCTGGAACCCCTACCTTCGTCTCCCTCCCATTGTGCGTCGCGCGGAGGAGTGGACGTGGGAGTTGGTGCGCATGGAGGACGAGAATACCGACTACGCCGGTCTGGGGCCCGTGAGCAACCCGTTCAACATGATTGTGTGCTACGAGCATGACGGTCCGGACAGCTACTCGGTCCGTCGCCACCGCGAACGGCTGCACGACTACATGTGGATGAAGGACGAGGGCATGCTGATGAACGGCACCAACGGCGTCCAGGTGTGGGATACAGCCTTTATCACGCAGAGTATCGTGGTGGCCGGGTTTGGCGATGACCCGAAATGGCGGCCTATGCTCACCAAAGCCCTGGAGTTCCTGGAAGACCATCAGCTGCGCGAGAATGTACCGGACCAGGAGAAATGCTACCGCCAGCACCGCAAGGGCGCATGGCCATTCAGCAACAAGACGCAGGGATACACGGTCAGCGACTGCACCGCCGAGGGACTGCGCTCGACCATTCAGCTGCAGGAGATGCACAATTTCCCGAAACTGATCTCGGAGGAGCGGTTGAAGGACAGCGTTGACTGTCTGCTCCTGATGCAGAACCCTACTGGTGGTTTCACCGAGTACGAAACCACACGGGCATCCGAGAAGGTCGAGTGGCTGAACGCAGCCGAGGTATTCGGCGGAATCATGATCGGATACGACTATCCCGAGTGCACGACCGCGTCCGTCACCGCGCTCTCCCTCTTCAGCAAGTACTATCCGAACTACCGGGCCGCGGAGATCAAGACCGCCAAGGAAAAGGCCGTGCGGTACATCAAGCGGGTGCAGCGCGCCGACGGCAGCTGGTACGGATCGTGGGGCATCTGCTTCACGTACGCGGCGATGTTTGCGCTGGAGAGTCTGGCCAGCGTCGGAGAGACGTACGAGACGAGCGCGGACTCCCGACGCGGATGCGAGTTCCTCATCTCGAAGCAGAAGGAGGACGGCGGCTGGGGCGAGTCGTACCTCAGCAGCGAGAAGCACGTCTATGTGCAGCACGAGAAGTCGCAGGTCGTGCAGACCGCATGGGCCAGTCTGGCGCTGATGGAGGCCGGGTATCCGCATAAGGAGCCGCTGCGAAAGGCGATGCAGCTGCTGATGTCGCGGCAGCAGGCCAACGGAGAGTGGTTGCAGGAGTCGATTGAGGGAGTGTTTAATCAATCTTGGTGAGTATACCTGATCGTAACTTGAGAGATAGCTAAGTACTAACGAGTGACAGCATGATTTCGTACCCCAACTATAAGCTGTACTGGCCGATCCGGGCGTTGGGATTGTATGCGCGCAAGTTTGGCAATGAGGAGTTGGTCTGATTGCAGCAGGCTTTTCTATGAGTATATGTATTACTAGTTTACTTACTACTACTGTCTACTAATTGATAATATGAAATTCATGTATACCATGGTGTTTATAGTTAGTATATGAGTAGCCAATCACGTGGATGGCTCCGCTCCCCGCATCTCCAAAGAAGATTATCGAACTTGTTTCGATTCCATTCACCTCACCTGCACTTCACTTTCACTAATTCCTTACTTATTTTCTTCGGATATTCCCTTACAAACAACAAATCTCACCTTCCACATCTCACACTCAGCTCCTACATAACCACATACCACCTCCCACCCACCCGCCCACCTAACAAACACAACACCCCAACACCTCAATCCCACCTCAACACCAAAACCAACCCCAAAATGAACGCCGCCTCCCTCGGCGACACCGCCCTCCAATCCTCCGACCCCACCACCGCAACCCTACACTACACCACCGCACTCCTCACGCACCCCCGATCGCCCAGCTACTTCATCAAGCGCTCCACCGCCTTCTCACGGCTAAAGCCGACGCCGAATCTCCCCGCCGCGCTCCGCGATGCCGAGTCCGCTGTTCTGCTTGCCCGCGAGCGGGGCAAACGCGAGTTGATCGTCGAGGCGCAGATGCGCAGAGCCATCGTGTTGTTTCTCATGGGGAGGTATGTTGCTGCTGAGGGGGTGGTGGGGGTTGTGGAGCGGATGGTGGGGTTGGATAAGGATGGGAATAATGGGGAGGATAAGGAGGAGAAGGTGAGGAGGGCGATGGGGGGGGCAGCTGCTGGTGCTGCTGGGAAGGGTGTTGAGGCGGAGGTGAGGATTTGGGGGGCGAAGATTAGGGCGAAGGTGAGGGGGTTGGAGGGGAATGGGGAGGGGGATAAGGTGGAGGAGGTTCCGGTGGGGGTTAAGGTGCCTGGGGAGAAGGAGTTGAGGGCGCAGTTGGAGGAGTTGAGGGGGGGGAGTAGGAGTAAGAGTACGGTTGGGGGTGTTACTGAGAAGGAGGGGGGTCAGAAGGTTGAGGATAAGGCTGGGAAGGGGGAAGTGGAGGAGAAAGCCGAGGTTAAGGAGACTCAGCAGCAGCAACAAGTCAAGGTCCGTCATGAATGGTACCAGTCCGGAGAGACGGTGGTCGTGACGTTGTACGTGAAAGGCGTACCTAAGGATAAAGTGGCTATTGAGCTGAAAGAGGACTCGGTATGTATTCTCCCATCACCTCGATCTATCATACAACATACTAACTAATTATACTTCAAGACATCCCTCCAATTCCCCCTCCCCTCCGGCGCCGAATACGACTTCACCCTCGACCCGCTCTTCGCCCCCATCGACCCCTCCACCTCCAAGGTCTCCGTCTTCTCCACCAAGATCGAAATCTCCCTGCGCAAGAAATCCCCAGGCCAGAAATGGAGCGCCTTGGAATCCTCCACCGGACTTACTCCCCAGCCTGTTACAACTACACCCATCACCACTACCACCGCACACATCAAACCACAAGCCCAGGGCCCAGCATACCCTACCTCCTCCCGCCACGGCGCCAAAGACTGGGATAAGCTTGCTTCAAGCCTAACCCAGAAGTCGAAGAAGGACAAACCCAAGAATAAAGACGCGACCAAGGCAGAAGGGAAAGGAGAAGGAGAAGATGATGATGAAGCATCGGACGCCGAATCCATCAACTCAGACTTCGGCGGCGGTGATGCCGTCGACGGGTTCTTCAAGAAACTCTATGCGAATGCGGACCCGGATACCCGTCGCGCTATGGTGAAGAGTTATGTGGAGAGTCAGGGGACTTCGTTGAGTACGAATTGGGATGAGGTTGGTCAGGGACCGGTTAAGGTTAGGCCGCCTAGTGAGTGATTTCTTTCTTTCTTTTCATCTTTCTCTTCTGGGGGGATAGAATGGGGGAAGGAAGGAGGGAAGAAGGGGGAAGAGGAAGGAGAATGCGAATTGCAAGCGTGGAGTTTATTTCCAAGGTCTACTTACTATCCATGTTGTGGGTGCATGTGGGTGGTGTTTATGGTTTGGTAGTTTGATTTCTTAATTCTCTTTGTTGCTTTGTCTTGCTAGTTGTAGCTTAGCTCTGCTTTGCTTGTAATGGTAATTTGTTTGAAATTGAGACTGTGGTATTAGTACTTAGCTGGAAACAGGTACGTAGAGTGTTGCGAAGTATGCGTCAGTAGAAGCAAGTATAGTATGAGATAATACTATATACACGAAGAATCCCCAATCAAACGCCAATCAATGAGCGAAAGTAGCAAAAGTAGCATAGCATAGCATAGCAATCTGGCCATATAGCAAACAAGCAAGCAAGCAAGCGCTTTTATGTTGATTCAATCAATCAATCATCTCCAACCACCAACACCAACACCAATCCATCTTTCTTTGTGTCTTCCCAGAGACATTATCAAGAATAAAAAAAAAGAAGAAGAAGAAGAAGAGAATCATGTAAGCAAACGCAAGTATGTTTCATCTCGCCTCTGCATCCACCTCACCTCCATTTCCATCCTGGTACAAGAAGAACTGAATAAAGATACACATGTCCAACAATAATGTGCCAAAGCTTCCAATCAACCAAGACAGATTCATCAGAATATACCGACCATACAGCGATGCCAGTTCATCAGATCGACAGCGACCATGGTGTCGGCGTTGACACACGGGTGAATACGCCAGGATGGAAAGTACGTAGGTCAGGTTGCCAATACAGGCGAAGAGGAAGAACAGTAAGGATACCCCGTCTGTTGACTTGCGGCGGTAGTTGAGGAGGATCTGGGGCAGACGGGAACCGAGGTATAGCACTGCGCAGAGGTAGCCGAAGACTTGGCCTAGTGTGTCCATTTTCAGGTCGTCGGTGCTGTCTTTGTGCTTGTTGTTGTTATTGTTGTTGTTGTCTGAGGAAAGTGATGACCGCTGGCTGATGTACCAGCCTAGGATGCCGGCGGCACAGACGAGGATAATGGCTGAGCCGTTGAAGAAGGTGGCTTGGAGCATGGTCAGAGTTCGAGGTGGACGGGGTTGCTTGGCTGGTTCGACGAGTGGGGTCGCTGGGGAGAGGTGAGTTCCGTCGACGGTCGTGTGAAGGAATGAAGAGGCGGAGTGACGGCGATGGGCGAGCAAGGGTTGGTGATGAGGGGTGATTGTTGCTGATGATGCTGGGCTGCGAGTGTCCAGAGGAGCCTGGTAAGAGGCACTGCGGCGTTTGGAGGAAAGCAACGCGGTGTGCTCTGTGGGTTTCCGAGGCACGACAGGAGAGGGAATCTCCGTGTCCTCGTCGTAGGCATCTGTCGTGATGGGAGATGCAGGTCGCGGTGGCGTGGATGGCTCGTCGCGCAGGGTGAATCCCCGGTAGTAGAAGCATTGAGCTAGGAGCACCACATCGGCTAGGGTGTAGTATACCGCAAGAATGATCATGGTTGGCAGCACGCCCTGCAGGACGGCGCCCAGGATGTTGAACACATCGCCGGCAAGCCAGACGATGAGGAAAAGAAGCGACAGGCCATCAGCTGAGCCGCGACGGAAATTTTCGATGATCTGTGGAGAGAAGACAACAACCCAGCACGCAATCGAGATGGATCTATGTCGGTGGTCAGTATAAAACATCCAATTCTCCTCTAGTCTGGCATAAACATACCCACATATGCCACTCAGTGCCTCTATATCTATATTGCCGGTGACTGCGGGAAACATGTCCGGGCTGTGCGAACGAGAGAGCGATTGGGCGTTTCCCCAATCAATGCTCTACTCTATAGTCTAAACAGAAAGAGGCAAGGAAAATCGGTCGACAGCAAACAAAGACGCGTTGATGGAATGAAGCAGATGGCCGCGATGACGTTCGCAGAGTCTGCGAAGGGTGCAGATCACGTGGGGCGATCCGGGGTAGCTCCCCTCAGTCTAGACCAAGAATGGACACCCAGATCGACTGCTTCCACTTTTCTTCTTCCTGGTCACGCTTTGTTCGTTGTCTCGACCGCAATATCCTGCATTATCTATTCTGGTCCTCTGATCATCTAGTGCCATCTGATCAAGTAATTCTTCCCCCGTGTAGACCTACCATTCACTTCATCCTCCATAGGACTGCGTATGTCATGTGATTGATTAGTCAAGCCGTGACGTCGGTCATCAACCATCGCCCATCTGAACCAATTCTCTTGCAGCTTCAACATCCCTCAATCATGTGGCTTCAATGACTGCTCCAGCAATTCGGATTCCCTTTACGGGCCCTCTACCTCCGCCGATTATTGTCCCTCCGTCCGCACGCACGGTCGCAGGTGCCATTGATGCGCTCTTGACCTTTTTGACGGCCCCTCCGTCGCCGCATCTGCGCGGCGTTGATGTAGGCAGGCATTCCCAGACGGTGCTCTTGACAGGCGCTGGCATCTCGGTGGCTTCAGGCTTATCCGACTACCGGGGTGAGAATGGCACGTACATCACAAACAAGACGTATCGACCGATCTACTACCACGAGTTCGTCGCTCGCCATGAGTTTCGCAAGCGATACTGGGCGCGAAGCTTCATTGGGTGGCCGGGACTCCTCAAGGCGAAGCCAAATTCGACGCACTGGGCTATAAAAGAGATCGGTACGAAAGGCTATATTAGTTCAGTGGTGACCCAAAATGTCGACTCCTTCCATTCTGTCGCGCATCCCGAGCTACCCACTCTCGAACTCCACGGCTACTTGCGTTCTGCGGTCTGCATCAATTGTCGAACTGAAGTTCCACGGGACGAGTTTCAGCAATCGCTCGAGAGGCTGAATCCCGCTTGGGCAGAGTTTCTCAAGAAAATGGTCGATATTGGTGCACTGAACGCGGACAACCCTGAGGAGCAGAGACGGAGGGGCTTGAAAATCAACCCGGATGGTGATGTAGATTTACCAGAAGCCCCTTACTCGACCTTTCGGTATCCAGCATGTCCAACCTGTTTAGAAAAGCCACCCCGACTGCAGGACGGGTCCCAATCCCGGGTGGAGGTAGAGCGCGATGGGGCTTGGCTTCCAAGTTCTACAGCGGGGATTTTGAAGCCGGCGGTCATTATGTTTGGGGAGAATATCGACCCAGCCGTCAAGGTGGGTGCAGAAGAGGCCATCGACGATGCGGGCAGACTCCTTGTCCTGGGCAGTAGTCTTGCCACATACTCGGCATGGCGCCTAGTGGAACGGGCCTATAAGCGAGGGATGCCGATTGGCATCATCAATATAGGAGGTGTCCGGAATGAGTCGATCCTCTTTAGCAAGGCGGAGCAAGAAACGGAGGCTGTATGCCGGCATGTCCGTTGCAGTCTCCCATCCCAGGACATTCTTGGCCCTGTGGCAGCACAACTGCCTTCACTTACTCGTCATTAGTGTCCTCGTATAGATTGAAGAGGATGTGATGTATAGATGACGGTGAGCTGTGTGACCCGTTCAGATAAGCAGCATAGTATAGTATATACAAGCGATAAAAGTCATAATTCAAGCTTGCGTCATTAGAAACGTTATTCTTTCAAGATAGCAGTATTCATCAGGTGGAATAGTCTAGAAAAAGATAACTATAGATGCGCCAAATTGATTGGCAACGGCGAGTTGTGGACAGGCATGAATAGACGCCGGGATACTAGTGGAGACCAGACAGGCAAGATTGAGGAGAAGAGAAAGTGATGGCGGGCCAGTCAGCCGCCCGTCCGCTGTTCGATGCCAGCGCGGGGCTCTGCATTCGCCGGTTCAGATCAGCATGGACATGGACGGTCGCGACCGCTCAAAAAGCAAGACATTGCAACCTCCAACCTCCGAATATCTGGATCTCATCTCTAACTTGGCCTCTCCCAAAACTTTTCTCTTCCATCCTCCGCGCTCCACCTCTCGTTCGCATCCAACTCCTGCTGCGCAGAGTACCACCGTCGCGCCATCAACCACCATGGACAAGCAGCAGCCCAGCTCCTTCCAGCAGCTGGAAAAGGTGTGTTTTGATAGCTTCCCTACCATAGATTGAGATATTACCCAGACAGACAGAAAGTCGTGATGCTAACTGCTGATTCTAGCTCGGAGAAGGCACCTATGCCACCGTACGAACCCCTCCCTCCGCACGGCCGATCCTCTGAATCGCACGATGCACTGACACTCACGCAGGTCTTCAAAGGACGTAACCGCCAAACAGGCGAGCTGGTTGCCCTGAAAGAGATCCACCTCGATTCCGAAGAGGGAACACCATCCACCGCCATCCGAGAAATCTCGTTGATGAAGGAGCTGAAGCACGAAAGCATCGTCTCGCTCTATGATGTGATTCACACGGAGAACAAACTCATGCTCGTCTTTGAGTACATGGACAAGGATCTGAAGAAGTATATGGATACCCGCGCCGACCGCGGTCAGTTGGACCAAGCCACAATCAAATCATTCATGCACCAGCTTCTCAAGGGCATTGCGTTTTGCCACGAGAACCGCGTCCTCCACCGCGATCTGAAGCCTCAAAACCTCCTGATCAATAAAAAGGGACAACTCAAACTTGGAGATTTCGGTCTCGCCCGTGCCTTTGGCATTCCCGTCAACACTTTCTCCAACGAAGTCGTGACCTTGTGGTACCGTGCCCCGGATGTACTTCTGGGCAGCCGCACATATAACACGAGCATCGACATCTGGTCTGCTGGATGTATCATGGCGGAACTCTACACCGGCCGTCCTCTGTTCCCCGGCACCACCAACGAAGACCAGCTTATCAAGATCTTCCGTCTCATGGGTACCCCTTCGGAACGCTCATGGCCCGGCATCTCCCAGCTCCCAGAGTACAAGCCAAACTTCCACGTCTATGCCACGCAGGACCTCAGTCTCATTCTCCCCCAAATCGACCCCCTAGGTCTGGATCTTTTGAGCCGGATGCTGCAACTACGACCAGAGATGCGGATCAGTGCCCAAGACGCACTGGTACACCCCTGGTTCCGCGATCTTCCGCAATTGCAGGCCCAGTTGCAGCAACAGCAGCAGCAGCAACAAATGGCGGGGGCGTATGGCGGCATGGTTCCCCAACAGCAAGCATACTGAGATTCTTCCTTTGATCCGTCTTTGTTTTCCTTCTAGTTCGTTTTCATCATGTACAGCCTTTCGTTTACCTTGGCTTTCGTTCATCTGCCCCCTTCGTGGAAGGCTTGACGAGCAACGGATTCGGTTTTAGAATGGGGAGAGCGCGGCGTTTGACTCCTAAGAGGACATTCAAATGATTCTTTCTGTTTTCTCTTTCTTTGCGGTGCATATGGCCGATGGCATTTCTAGATAAACTTGATCATGATATTCAACGTTCGCTCGCCAATTACCTTGCCTGTCATAAAGATTTATATTTGTAGGGGCAGCAGCGAATATCTGTGATATATGCTGCAGACATGGTTTGGTTCTGGCGAGCCTTTATTGACTAGTTTCCTATAGAGCCCTAAAACATATACAGTATCCAATTTCAGCTCTTCATACATCCAGCGCAACCGCAACATAGCAAAAGACCACGATAACTCTTTTGAATCTAATCCAAGCACCAAACACATATAGAACCCCACAAATTTTACTAAATAGGTACCTAAATCCTGCGATACACACAGGTACCCGACCCATCAGCCCGGATCTATACAAATCACGTGATACACAGTAGTCGCGCGTCTCCCGGCGCGTCTCCCCAATCCCGATCAATCAATCAACCAATCTCCATACTTCATCCTACAACCACAAAACAACAACAACGACCGAAAAGAGCCCGAAACGAACCATACCTCAAGTCATAACATCACGAAAATACCGCACCCTGATAAAACTCCCCAAGTACCTACCTACCTACCTACCTACCTACCTCAACCCCGCCCAACCCAACCGACGAACGAACGAACGATATAAACCAAACCATGTCCACCGAACCGACCACCCAAAGACCAGGCGCCTCGCCCTCACCACCCCCTCCCGCGCCAGTCCCCCTAACACCCGGCCCGCGCGCCTCCAAACTCCAAGAGATCTTCGACAAGGCGCTGGCGCGCACGCTGCGCGCAAACTCGTACGCGAATTTCAGCGGGTGTTTTCCGACGCCGGCGAAACATGTCCCGGCTAGTTTGGAGAGTGTGTGGAGACAGTTGAATGCGAAGTTGGAGGAGAGCGCTAAGGCTGAGTTCGAGGATATTTTGGCCGAGAGGGATGCTGTTAGGCAGTTGAATGAGTTGGATCGGTTGGTTGGTGAGGCGAGGGTTAGGAAGGAGAGAGGGGTTGGTGGGGATAGTGTTGCGTATGTTTCCCCCTTTTTTTTTGAAGCACTTTTGTGTGTTGCTTTTTGGTATTGTTGGATTGGGGCGGGGGGAAGTGGATGATGGATGGCTAACTGGTTTATTTGTTGGTAGGCCGCATACGTTGAGTCCGGAGGAATTGTACAAAGCGCATTTGTTGCCGCATTTGATGGAGACGCAGGCGGATTTGGATGCCAAGATTAATTCGGTGCAGAATCAGAATGCTGAGTTGGCTGGGAAGGTCCAGGCGCAGAGGTCTGAGATTGAGAGTTTGTTGTCCGGGTTGGAGGCTGTGGTTGCTGATTTGGAGGGTGCTGCGGCCGCGACGACGCAGTTTACGAGTGAGCATCAGCTTCGACAAGAAGCTGCGCAGATGGATGGAGAGGTTAAGGCTAGATCCGAGATCTGATCTGGTGGCTTGCGATTTCTACGATGGCGGGGACAGGCTTCCCTTTCAACGTTCGAATGGGCCGGGGTATAGTATAACTACGACAACAATATCTCCATATCGCCAGGACCCATCCATCCCTCTTCGACCACCTCCTCCGCAACGAGCATCAGCTCCTTGGACGCAGCTCTGCGAAGCTGCTGGACTTTGTCCTTTTGGCCTGCCAGTGCAGCAGCGATGGCCTCCTTGCAGGTTCCGTCTCGTTCCTCGTCCGCAGCACCGTCCCTCTTCGCCAAGGCTGCTGCACCGCGGTAATAAGTCTGGGCGTTGCGCAGCAGTGTAGCTCCGTTATCTCGGGCCATGTTATAGTCCCATGGAGCCAAGCCAAGCCTCCACCTACCCATCTCCACGTCTCCCCTTGCCAGATGAATCTTTGGCAGGTTCTCAGCAGTGGGGAGTTTGGACGCTTTGCTCAGTGCGTCCAAGGCAGCGGACAGTGACTGCCATCGAAGAGACAGCGCTTTCGCAAAGGCCTCCGGCTCATACGGAGGGAGATCTGTGAGCGCCGTGTTGAAAGAAGTGAGCGCGTCGGCTTTGCTGCACAGGCCATCCGGGTCGTTGGATAGATCCAGATCGGGACCGAAAGCTCGCGAGACTTCTTCGGAGTATGTTCCAACTTCAGTCCGTCCGCTTCTGTATAGAACTTCATTCAGGGCGCAGGCGAACTTGGCACGAGCCAGGGTGGCTTCGTAGTGCCTGTTTGACCCCTCGACATATGCTGAGATTCGTTTCTGCAGCTGCTCGGATGAATACTCTTCTACCCAAGTGACTCCTACTTCCGGGTTGAATGTGAGTAGGTTACAGAGGCTTGTGATGGCATCCAGTTGTGCCACAGCAGTATCGACGAGTGTGTCCTTGGTCACGGGCTCAACAATAGCAGCCCATTGTTCTTGCTGGTCTGAAGATTTCGAATCGTCCGCAGGTGGCAGTTCTGGCGGTGTATCTTGCATCTGTGTTTCAGCAGGGTCCGTCTCGCCGGACGTCATCTGATTGATCTGCTCCTGCATTTCGGTGTACTTGAGTTCCTGTACAGTTAGGCAACGTTGGAAGAGTTCTATGGCTTCTTGCAAAAGCTTCACTGCCTGGGACAGCCGGTCATCCGATGGACGTTTGGCTTCGGTCAAGGCCTCGGCAATGCTGGTGAGTACTTGGGCTGTGTTGAAGAGCGCATCTGCATTGTCTTGCTCCAGGTCAAGCGCTGCTCTGTGAGAATCGAGCGCTACTCGCAGTACGTCCAATAGCGGCGCCGACAGCTGAGCAGCTAGTCTGGGATGTTGTGTGATTTCATATTGAACTCTCGCTCTATCAGACATCAGTACCTAAGGTTACTTACTGATGGACGCGGCCATAATGAGTAGATAGAGCAACAATGAAATCGGATGACGTATGACGTACTTGTTATAAGCCAGGTCAAAAGCAGTGGGATGTTTGCTCAAGCCTTCGTCATAGGTATTGATGGCGCGCATGAAGAAGCGCAGGGATTTGGCTGCATCTCCGGCGCGCCATTTCTCTCCGGCCTCTTCCTGTTCGACACCGACTGGAACATCTTGGTTAGCTATACGGCAATATATGACAGGCGATTGACCAAATGAAAATAATTTAGTTCTGATGCTGGGTGACTCACGGGCTAGGTATTCATCTGCGGTTTCTGGGGCCTAGGCAATAGAGTTAGAGGGAAAGTAATAGTCGCGGTCGAAGGGTCAATTGAGCATACCCGCTGTGTCGCCTTTTTCTTATTAGGCTTGGTGTCTTTGAGGAAAGACTTTGGCTTGGGCATTGTCAACGTCCAGATGCGGCCAGAGTTTTCCGATAAATAAATTCCTCGGCGCAATAAATATAAAGCACGGTGGATGTTAGGCTAAAATCTCAGTATCAAATGGGAAGCTGCAAAATCAACAAGTATATGATGACGTCCCGCGATGTTTTTTTCGAAAATAAGAAAGACGAGGGGTAGCTCCATAATGCCGGCGTTACGGAGATACCGCCTTAGCGCCCGCTTTGAGATTAGTAGGGAGTAATATCCCCCGTCTAATCATAAATATAGTACTTTTGACAGACTGAAGATAAATTAAGTGGCCCAAAAATTCATATAGATAAGATGAGATTCTATCTAGCTATCAGAACTATTGAAGCCACGGGCTTATCAACTGATACTATGAGCGGTCAGCACCTAGTCTACTACTAGTCCATGCTGAGTGGACTGCCCTACAGCACTCCCGCTCCAATGCAAGTCAGAGTGATAGTGTGCAAGCAAATCCCGTACGTCTGGCCAAACAAGAAATGATATTCGTCCTTTTCCCTTCAACATCCGGCAGCGGTGTCGTGCATATTGAAGATCCTTCAGACGGGACGGAGCAGTCAATCAATCATGCATGTCTTACATCGTTTGCAGTCTTACAGCCAGTTTTCTTACTACACAAGACAAGACAAGAAACAAGGAATTTCATAATACATCACATGTTATTATTGTATGCCAACCACTATTGAGTGAGTCGGCACGGAAGAACCGGGAGTAGGCGGAGGGAGTAGAGAAGGTTTGCTGGGGTTCAAGGACCAAGGAAATGGGGGCCGCTTGGTGGATGAAGAAGATGCGTTGCTGCTGCTGCTGCTGCTGCCATCGTCGGATCCGCGTGGCTGCCCACTTGCCCGCACGTGGCGGGCCTGGCCGGGAAGGGCCTGAACACTCTTACAGTTACAGTAAAGTAAGTAGTAAGTTATCTAGTTAGTTTTCATAACTAATTGAAGTCAATAATCCTCCTAGTGGTGGAATTCCCGCTGTTTTAAACTACGAACTAGTGGTGTATAGATATAGCTAGGGTACCATCTGTGGCATTGTGAGAGAGACTTGGTTCTTTCAGTCTGAAAAATGAATCAAGAACGTGTGCAGAATACTCAAGAAAAAGCAAGTATCTTTAATTTAGTTTGCAGGCCTAATCTGGTAGATATTTAGGACTACTACCTCTTTTACGTACCTGGGAATAGGGGCAGCTAATATGGTATGATGCATCCACTCCGTTTGGTCTGCTCCTTTCAGCCAGCCGATCGCCAAATCCCTCAAGTATACTCCTACTCCGTAATTTCAAGAGCATGACGATCAATCCGTCGGGCGCGCAAGCATCCCTGTTTGGTGATGGCGCTCGTGTCTGCCGCCGACGTCCCAACAGAGTCCGGTGTCTCAGGCTGCCTGCGATGGTTTAGCCGGCCTCCAAATGGGTCGCATACCCATCTTTTTGTCCCTGCCGACCACTGCACTAGACACTAAATTTACTGGAGAAGCATGAGAAAAACGGGCTTGTAACCATACTAGTTAGTATGTACCTCACCACTATCAACTCTATCTATCTATCTCTCGTGCCAGTTAACCAACAAAGTTCCCTTCACCACCAAAGATAAATACAGATCTGGGCAAAGGAGGGGATCGTAGAGAGAATAAGGACAGGAAAACCTTAAAAGCCGTCCAAACGACAAACCCTCCCCCCCTCTCCAATCCTTTCCGACCGTCGACGAGGAAGAAGATTTTATCAGCATTGCGTTTTGGCGCCTGCCGGTGACCCACCCCATCCGCCTCCTTCGCCCCCGGCCTCTCCTGAGTTGAATGCATGGCACGGCTGCGCGCAGTCCTACACTGTCATCAACAAGCTCGTTCTTACTCTTACTCTTCCTCTTCCTCTTCTTTTGATTTTGCCCACGTCGGATATCTCCTCTGATCTATACTGATCGCATACAGACCTTGGAAGTAATTGACTGCCCCAAGGTGAGAACCCCTCTTCACTCCAGCCCTGCTGATCCCGGCTCAATCAAGTGTCTTGAACCACTCGTCGGGATCATTCTCCCAGAGAAAAAACTTCCTGATTAGTTATTGATACCTTGCCTTCCCTTTATTCCCTCCTTTATTATCTCGACTGTGGACTTCCCGTCTGCTTGTCTGGGTCTCTTGTCTCTTCGGTCCTGCTGCAGTCGTTCCTTTGATATCCGCACCTCTTTTAAGTTCTCGCTTCGCTGACCGGGGTACAATTCCATCTTACAGGTTACGAGTACGGTCTTCCCGGAAGTCTCGCAGCCTTTGTTGTTCCACTATTCTGCACACGCTTTGAACTACACGCAATATACGACCCACCGCATCCTACCACCATAGTGGACATGGCTAGACATACATCGCTTGAATCTGAGAGACCCATCATGGCCCAGTCGGTAAGTCTACATGGACTACGTGCGATGTCCACGCACTTATCGCCGTCGCAATCTCGTCTGATTCGATCATAGGCACGTACCTCCAAGCGGTTCTCGACTGTCAGCGAAGCCCCTACAGTCGCCTCGTCGGAAACCACCTTTGCAGGTCTGCCGGCCGGAGACCCCAGACTGGCCGATTTCCACAATCTCCGCGATGGACTGGAGCGCCTGGAAAACAAGCCCCTTCTGAAGCAGCGTTTCGTTCCCACTCCGGAGAAGACCGATAACTTGAGCAAGTTGGCATTGGGTGCCAAGGTGGAGCGCGCCCTTGGACGTAGAATGACCAGCCAGGACGCTGTCATGCGAGAACCCGTGCTGAACGAAAAAGCGGTGGTGGAAGCCCCGTGAGTTGTTGCGGACGTGTCGTGTGGTGTTGACCGAAAGTTTGCATTTTGATACCTTACTACTGGACCTTTTGCTCCCTGTCCCCATGGCCACCTGGGCCACGGCTGTTCTAATGTTGCATGTTTTCCCGGCTTGCCAGATTTCCCCTGCGGCGGGTTCTATGACCGAGTTCGATACCCGTCTTGATGAGAAGCTTATCTTTACCTGTCTATCATACCCCCCTTCTGAGCCAGCTATCTACTTTTGATTTGATGCGATTTCGCTGCGTATACCAACCCTAATCTACTGTCTGATAGCCATCTACTTATTTGATTACTGGGATAATCCTGTGATGTTTATGAGGGGGTGTGGTATTGTGTCGGTTCCGTTTACTATATGACAAAGGAGCACGCTGATGACTGGATATACGAATCCGAGATCTGCCAGTGATCCATGTTGTACACAGCTCTCTAGACTATGTATTGTCTACATTTTGAAATAGGAAACAAGCAAGAATTTGAACCCCGATACATTCTACGAGAAATGGCGAAGAGAGAGTGCTTCGTATCACAGGCTGTGCATCGTAAATGGTAGTAGAACAACTATCGGTTGAGGGTCCAGCATCATCGCCAATGAACGGGTCTGTTCGGGGGCGATTGAATCCACCGCATGCTGATATCATGGATGGCAAATAGACTGGCCTACCGCATTGTTTCACTGCGTCATCAACACAGATCCGACAGCTGTTTCGTTTACAGATTATGTACTACTACTGAGTGCCAGCCCCATGATCCTATGTAGATTTAGGTCCTACCATCTGTATATCTGACCGATTGGAGTAATTGGTCTTATTCCGCCCCAATACTGCCACCACTGCTGCCACATTTTGTCACTGATCGCGGTCGTCCAGTCGATCGACGAGATGCGCCCGTGAATCATATCAGCCAGAAGTAGCAGGCGGTGAGCTCGGGGCCAAGCGCGATATGTCCCAATGAAGACTAGCGCCGGGCACTTCTGGGTTCGGCTGGATTTTGCACCAGCAAAAACGAACGGCTTGACTGGCCCTTCACCTCAAAGTCGGCTCTCTCTCTCTCTCTCTGCGCTGCTGCTCTCAGCAACCTCTCGTGTCTCTCCGTCCACCCTGTTACTACTAGCTGTTACTTACCACACTCCCCCAAACTTAACTTCCCTCACCACTCTTCAACCACACACACACACACACACACACACACACACACACACACACACACACACACACACCCTACTTACCAACTCCCCTCACCCTACCCTCCACATATACACAAACACCCCATCTTCCTCTTCATATTTCCTTGCAATTATCATCCTCAGCCAGTTTTTCATCTGCTCCCACCTCTTTGTCTCTTGAAACAAGCTCCGTCTCTCTTCGTCCCCGTGCTTTTTCCCTCCCGAATCTGTTGCCTCGGGCTTTTCCCTCGCACACTCAATTCCGGAATCGCACAAGGTTCTTTCTGTTATTAACCTCGACGACTCCGACGCGCCACCTTCTTACCTTTCATTGATCTTTTCTTTTCTTTTTGATTCACTTCATTGCGCCTTCGGGGAGCAATTTGTTCGCACATTTCACGTTGTAAGTCCTTCATTTTCACCTGCAATCGTGACCCGGATCTCTCTGCCATGGCCATATACGTCCAAGCTTCAAAAGCACTGACAAATACCAGTATCGGGGAATATTTCTTACTAGATTTTTTTCCCTTCCCTCGTCGCATCAAGCCTCGCATCCTATCCAGCATATCCTTTTGCTTGGCCTTTCTCTCTTAGACTTTTATCTTTCTTTTTCTCGAGCCTCCAAGTTTCATTCATTTCACAATGGCCGACACGACCCAGGCTCCTATGAACGGCGGCTACCCTGCGCAACACGCTTACCCCGACACCTTCACCCACGCCCCCGCAAACGTCAACAGCGCGGCCAGCTTCCAGCCTGCGCCCTCCTCTACTCCCTCGAACGCCCCCGCAAATGACCAGAAGAATGGTATCTCGAAGGATGAGGTTGGCTGGTACTTCGTGGAGCAGTACTATACCAACATGAGCCGCAGTCCGGAGAAGCTTCACCTCTTCTACTCTCGGCGTTCTCAGCTCGTTTTCGGCACCGAAGCTGAAACCGTCCAGGTTGCTGTGGGCCAGAAGGTGCGTGTTGATATCTCAACTCCATGGGATCTATTCCTGTCCAGTAAGGTCTAATATACTGACATCATCGTTACATTATAGGCTATCAATGACAAGATCAAGCAGCTTGACTTCCAAGACTGCAAGGTCCGTGTCTTGAACGTCGACTCTCAGGCCTCATTCGATAACATCCTGATCTCTGTGATTGGCGAGATCTCGAACCGGTCCGAGCCTTCCCGCAAGTTTGTGCAGACTTTCGTGCTGGCCGAACAGCCCAACGGTTACTATGTCCTGAACGACATCTTCCGGTACCTTGTCGATGAGGAGGAGATTGAGCAAGAAGAAGCTGCTCCTGCTGCCCCTGCTGCCCCGGTTGAGGAGCCGGCTGCTGAAGAGCCTGCACAGCCTGCAGCTGAGACTGTCCCGGAGCCCGAGAAGGCCCAGGTAGACAGTGAGCCTGCCGCGGCTAAGGTTGACGAGAAGCTCGAGGAGGCCGAGCAGACTGCTGAGGCTAAGCCTGCCCAGGAGGAAGCTCCCCAGACCAATGGAACCGCGGCTGAGGAAACCCCTGTCGAAGCTGCCCCGGAAGCTGCTGCCCCGGTTGAGACTGAGGCCCCCAAGGCTGAGAAGCCCGCCACTCCTGAGCCCACCCCTGTGCCCGAGCAGAAGGAAGCTCCTGCTCCGGTCAAGGAGAGTGCTCCCGCCAGGGCGGTCCCTAAGACTTGGGCCAACATCGCCTCCAAGTCTGGTGCCTCGGCCCCTGTTGTTCCCGCTGTTCCCGTCGCTCCGGTGAAGCCTGCTCCCGCTGCCAGCTCTGCTCAGCCCACGGCTCCGGCCCCCGCCCCCGCCGCTGCTCCTGCTCCCGCGGCCGCTGCCGCTCCCGAAGCCGCGTCCAGCCAACCTTCCTCGACTGATGGTTCTGGCTGGCAGACTGCGGGCCATGATCACAAGAAGACCCAGTCCCGTGCGGGTGAGGAGAATGTTCTCGCATACATCAAGAACGTCACCGAGAAGGTTGATGCGAGCTTGCTCAAGCAGACCCTGTCTCGCTTTGGCAAGCTGAAGCACTTCGATGTGAGCCGTGCTAAGGTATGTCACCTCTTAACCCACCCGTAATCCAGATCAGAGAAGGAAAAGCTAACCTTGCGTCCAGAACTGCGCCTTTGTCGAATTCAGTGATGCCGCGGGCTATGCTGCCGCTGTCGCTGCCAACCCCCACCAGATTGGATCCGAGCAGATCTACGTGGAGGAGCGTCGCCCTCGTACCAATGCCTTCGGTAACGGTAGCTACGGTGCGGGCCGCGGTGGCGCCGGTCGTGGTCGTGGTGACCGTGCGGGCAGCCAGGGTCGGGGAGGCTTCCAGCGCGAGGGTCGCGGAGGCTTTGCCCCCCGTGGCCGTGGCGGCAACGTCAACGCCAAGGGTCGCAACCAGGCCCAGGCTGCTTAAGCACCTTTACAACCAAAAGTACCTCTTGACGTCTAACGAAGAACGACGAGCGAACGTAAGCGGTGGTCATTTCAGTGGGCCTTGACCGCTTCGTTCTAATCCCATTCTTTCCTTTTTTCTTTCCCCCCTTTACAAAGCCTTATATGATTCCTAGCCCTTCCTCCTGGCTTGAGACGGTATACGGGTTTAGATGCTCACGGCGATCCAGGACATGTATTACTCTCCCCCTTTACTTGATAATGACATGTGTTATGTGGCCCTCTTGTCACAGTGCATATTAGCGGTTGGAAAAGTTTCTTATCATCTTCTCACTGGGCTTTGCTTGGTCGTCATCATGACTTTGGTTTCCTCTTCCTGTGTTGCCATGACCTCTTTATTTTCTCTAACCTCTTTGATGGCTCCTTATCTTCTTAGCATAGCGAGCTGAATGCCCATATTTCTTCATCTCTGATCTCTGGTGGCTTTTGACCTCCCATCATCATTGTTTTTTCTTCTCTCCCACCATGTTGACGACCGTCGCAGTCCATCTCTGGCTTCTTAGTCCTGGCTCCTGCCTAGTTACACTTCTTTCCCTGGCTTCTGGTTCATTGTTTCTTATTTGCGGCCTCGTCATGTTTTGAGGAGTGTAAATGGATGGCTTCTTGCTGGAATGTTTCTTCATTATTACGTCTCTCTCATTTGTGTGCCGTACTTTCCTTGGGGGCTAGCTCCCGGGGGGGTTCAAGGGCTACAGGGCGGTGGGTAGCGGGCGGTGTTGGCTCAGGATGATGTGATTGCAAATTGTGCAACCACAATGGAGCAAAACGGATACAAGAAAAAAAGATTGAAGACATCTACAGAAAACAATCAAACACAAAAATCTCGCTAATGACTTGACGCCCTGTATGTAGTGAAATGACTCTAATCAGGGTGCGATAAAGGGTACTTAAGGTTCCCAGCTGGCGCAAGTAGTGTAGACACAGCAAGCAAGGTGGGAGGGGGTCCAAGTGGGGAATGAGTCAATGGCTCATGTAGTGAATAGTTAGTTAGTTCTTCAGGTCAACTACTGTGTGGGTACAGAGTACTTCCAGAGGGCATGCCTGAACTGAAGTGACACATCCAGTGAAGTACTGTATGTAGTAGTAATTGATGGTAGCCGTGGTAACATTGGTTACTATGAAAGCACACAAAGCGGTCAGAGTGATAGCAGCTCGGGATTGGCTGGGAATGGAGGGGAAGGGAAGAGGGAGGAAGAAAGAGCGGAACGTTCTAGATAGTGGGCCTCAGGCAGCCAGATCGCCCCCGGAAGTTATCGCCAGCAAAAAGAAGCAGGAAGACATCTGGGGAAGTTCCCCCCAAGCATATCTATACTAGATAGGTTACACAATGGAGCATAACCACTGAACCCCCCAACCAGTAGGGGGGGTGGCAGGCGCCGAGCAAAGGGGAGAAACAGGGCTGGTTAGTGCCCTGGCACGGTGTGGGCAGAAGCATCTAGATCCCGCAGCTGGAAGGCGCTGGAACATCCTCTGGGGGGGGGGGGGGGAAGCTTGGGAGTGTCGAACAGTAGCTGGAGGAGCAGCATGGAATCGGTGGAAGTTGCTGGATCGCCGTAGAAACGCCGCACTGAAATTTTGTGACGGTCCGCCCAAAGAACATTAAGGTCCCGCCCCGTCGCCTGTTCCCTTCGGTTCACCAGCTATTTTTTCTCATTCTTCTCTTCCTCTCCATCTTAACTCTCTAATCACTCTTCCCTCCCTCTCTCCATCTCCCTATTCTTTCTGTCACCTCGTGGGCAGTTCTTCATCTCCTTTCCTCCCAATTTGTGATCCGTGATTTAATCCTCCCATTAACCCTTTCATAACTACCTCCCACCTTTCAATCCGTTTTAAGGTCAGTACTAGTTATCCTATCCCTCCCTCTCCCCACCTTGAAGCTCTGACTCAGCCACTATCGTTTGGGTGCAAACTTGGCTCAGAGCGGGAGGCAAGACAGAATTTCTAGAAATTTCTGCCCTTTTCTTGCCTTCCTTCCCTCTTTGTCAACAAATATAAAGACTCTTCCAATTCCCCTTCCGTTTTCAACCCACTTCCCTCCTTCTCCACTTCAGAATCATCTGGAGGAGCTTTGTCATTTCGCTTCCTCTTCCGCTTCCTCCCTTCTTTTTACTGACATCCCTACCCCTCCTTCAGAAACCAGTCTCTCTCCTCCTACCGCCACCATGTCTGCCGAGACTTTCGAGTTCCAGGCTGAGATCTCTCAGCTCCTCTCCCTCATCATCAACACTGTCTACTCCAACAAGGAGATCTTCCTGCGTGAGCTGATCTCCAACGCCTCCGATGCTCTGGACAAGATCCGCTATGAGTCCCTGTCCGACCCCTCCAAGCTCGACTCGGGCAAGGATCTCCGCATCGACCTGATCCCCAACGCTGAGGCCAAGACCCTCACCATCCGTGATACCGGTATCGGTATGACCAAGGCTGTAAGTTTTTCCTTTACTCCCTATTCTTTTCTCTGCCATTGAGCAGTAGACGTTCCAAGTTTAGAGCGAATTCTGACTATAGACTTCTTTTAGGACCTTATCAACAACCTCGGTACCATTGCTCGCTCTGGTACCAAGCAGTTCATGGAGGCTCTCTCCGCTGGTGCTGATATCTCCATGATCGGTCAGTTCGGTGTTGGTTTCTACTCTGCCTACCTTGTGGCCGACCGTGTCACCGTCATCTCCAAGCACAACGATGACGAGCAGTACATCTGGGAGTCCGCTGCCGGTGGTACTTTCACCCTCACCCAGGACACCGAGGGTGAGCAGCTTGGCCGTGGTACCAAGATCATCCTCCACCTGAAGGATGAGCAGACCGACTACCTCAACGAGAGCCGTGTCAAGGAGGTTGTCCGCAAGCACTCCGAGTTCATCTCCTACCCCATCTACCTCCACGTCCTGAAGGAGACCGAGAAGGAGGTCCCCGATGAGGAGGCTGAGACCAAGGAGGAGGAAGAGGGTGACGAGAAGAAGCCCAAGATCGAGGAGGTCGATGAGGAGGAG